AAAAGTGGCACCTCGCGATGGATGTATCTTGGGAAATATTTATCTGATCTCTAAACGGAATCCCATTATGGAGTCGTGGAACAATTCTCTAATAATCTGCATTTAAATCCTAGAAGGTAATTTTTTTTAGATTTTTTTCACATTTTTCTGATGGACCCCCTTAAAAAATGGAGAAATCGAGAAGTGCGTAAAAATGGCACCTTAGGATGGATGTATCTTTGGAAATATTTATCTGATCTCTAAACGGAATCCCATTATGGAGTCGTGGAACAATTCTCTATTAATCTGCATTTAAATCCTCGAAGGTAATTTTTTTTAGATTTTTTTCATATTTTTCTGATGGACCCCCTTAAAAAATGGAGAAATCGAGGAGTGCGTAAAAATGGCACCTCGCGATGGATGTATCTTGGGAAATATTTATCCGATCTCTTAACGGAATACCATTATGGAGTCGTGGAACAATTCTCTATTAATCTGCATTTAAATGCTCGAAGGTAATTTTTTTTTAGATTTTTTTCACATTTTTCTGATGGACCCCCTTAAAAAATGGAGAAATCGAGGAGTGCGTAAAAGTGGCACCTCGCGATGGATGTATCTTGGGAAATATTTATCTGATCTCTAAACGGAATCCCATTATGGAGTCGTGGAACAATTCTCTAATAATCTGCATTTAAATCCTAGAAGGTAATTTTTTTTAGATTTTTTTCATATTTTTCTGATGGACCCCCTTAAAAAATGGAGAAATCGAGGAGTGCGTAAAAGTGGCACCTCGCGATGAATGTATCTTGGGAAATATTTATCTGATCTCTAAACGGAATCCCATTATGGAGTCGTGGAACAATTCTCTATTAATCTGCATTTAAATCCTCGAAGGTAATTTTTTTTAGATTTTTTTCATATTTTTTCTGATGGACCCCCTTAAAAAATGGAGAAATCGAGGAGTGCGTAAAAGTGGCACCTCGCGATGGATGTATCTTCGGAAATATTTATCCGATCTCTTAACGGAATCCCATTATGGAGTCGTGGAACAATTCTCTATTAATCTGCATTTAAATCCTCGAAGGTAATTTTTTTTTAGATTTTTTTCACATTTTTCTGATGGACCCCCTTAAAAAATGGAGAAATCGAGGAGTGCGTAAAAGTGGCACCTCGCGATGAATGTATCTTGGGAAATATTTATCTGATCTCTAAACGGAATCCCATTATGGAGTCGTGGAACAATTCTCTATTAATCTGCATTTAAATCCTCGAAGGTAATTTTTTTTAGATTTTTTTCATATTTTTCTGATGGACCCCCTTAAAAAATGGAGAAATCGAGGAGTGCGTAAAAGTGGCACCTCGCGATGGATGTATCTTGGGAAATATTTATCCGATCTCTTAACGGAATACCATTATGGAGTCGTGGAACAATTCTCTATTAATCTGTATTTAAATCCTAGAAGGTAATTTTTTTTAGAATTTTTTCATATTTTTTCTGATGGACCCCCTTTAAAAATGGAGAAATCGAGGAGTGCGTAAAAGTGGCACCTCGCGATGGATGTATCTTGGGAAATATTTATCCGATCTCGAAACGGAATACCATTATGGAGTCGTGGAACAATTCTCTATTAATCTGCATTTAAATCCCGGATGGTAATTTTTTTTAGATTTTTTTCATATTTTTCTGATGGACCCCGTTGAAAATTGGATAAATCGAGGATTGCGTGAAAATGGTACCTTGCGATGGATGTATCTTGGGAAATATTTATCCGATCTCTAAACGGAATCCCATTATGGAGTCGTGGAACAATTCTCTATTAATCTGCATTTAAATCCTGGAAGGTAATTTTTTTTAGATTTTTTTTCATATTTTTCTGATGGACCCCCTCTAAAAATGGAGAAATCGAGGAGTGCGTAAAAGTGGCACCTCGCGATGGATGTATCTTGGGAAATATTTATCCGATCTCTTAACGGAATACCATTATGGAGTCGTGGAACAATTCTCTATTAATCTGCATTTAAATCCTCGAAGGTAATTTTTTTTAGATTTTTTTCACATTTTTCTGATGGATCCCCTCTAAAAATGGAGAAATCGAGGAGTGCGTAAAAGTGGCACCTCGCGATGGATGTATCTTGGGAAATATTTATCCGATCTCGAAACGGAATACCATTATGGAGTCGTGGAACAATTCTCTATTAATCTGCATTTAAATCCCGGATGGTAATTTTTTTTAGACTTTTTTCATATTTTTCTGATGGACCCCGTTGAAAATTGGAGGAATCGAGGATTGCGTGAAAATGGCACCTCGCGATGGATGTATCTTGGGAAATATTTATCCGATCTCTAAACGGAATACCATTATGGAGTCGTGGAACAATTCTCTATTAATCTGCATTTAAATCCTGGAAGGTAATTTTTTTTAGATTTTTTTCATATTTTTCTGATGGACCCCCTTGAAAATTGGAGAAATCGAGGATTGCGTGAATATGGCACCTTGCGATGGATGTATCTTGGGAAATATTTATCCGATCTCTAAACGGAATACCATTATGGAGTCGTGGAACAATTCTCTATTAATCTGCATTTAAATCCCGGATGGTAATTTTTTTTAGATTTTTTTCATATTTTTCTGATGAAAAATTCATATTTTCATATTTTTCCGTTGAAAATTGGAGAAATCGAGGATTGCGTGAATATGGCACCTTGCGATGGATGTATCTTGGGAAATATTTATCCGATCTCGAAACGGAATACCATTATGGAGTCGTGGAACAATTCTCTATTAATCTGCATTTAAATCCCGGATGGTAATTTTTTTTAGATGTTTTTCATATTTTTCTGATGGACCCCGTTGAAAATTGGAGAAATCGAGGATTGCGTGAATATGGCACCTTGCGATGGATGTATCTTGGGAAATTTTTATCCGATCTCGAAACGGAATACCATTATGGAGTCGTGGAAAATTCTATCTACGATGTACTTAATTTATCATTTTTTTCAAATATTAGATATACGTATCATATCCTATTGCTTTCCACTTCCATGTTATTCCACATAGAACATTGTAAATAAGGACTATTTTGTAATGCTCCAGTAATATCCCACAAAGAGTTACTTTTTAAATCCACTTTTGAAATGCAAAGCAGTAACGACAATTAATGTCGTCTGAAAATTGTTTAGCCATTACATTTTCATTTTAGTGTGGAACTGTCAACGAGTTGCATGCAACCCTTTGGCAATCCTTTAAGCCCTGGTGCAGTAGCGAAATGAAATTGAATTAGAGGCTTCGGCAAATGCATTCGTTTTACAGCTGAAATCATAAACAGAAGCGAATGCTGCTTAAAATTTCATTACGCGCACTTAAGTGGTGTGATTTGCCTCAAACCCTGGCCTCTAGCCGGCCACCTTTTCGCCGGTGATGTAAAAGCTCGTAAAATCCACAGTAGCTGCAGTAGGGAAGCACCGCAGTGGCGACACATCCACGTTCACGTTCGTATCCAGAGCCACGGCCACATCCACAGCCACACTCGCATCCGTGTCCCCACATCCACTGCAATGCAGCTGGTGAAATGTCATCGGCGTGGTGCGGCGCGTTCCTCTTCGCCTGGATTTTATGGCAAAAGGAGAATGTATCTAAGCTGCAGTCTTGTTTCAGGTTTCTGGTGCTGCTGCTCGTTCTGTTTTCTGTTTTCGGGCTCCTAAATTCGGCTAGAACGTAAAAGTTTTATGGGTGCCGCAGAGCAAAGACTCAGACTGAGAGAAGCCTGTGCGGCGACGTCGTAAATAAATTTTTGCTCGTAATTAATTTTGCATGCTAGTCAGTCAGTCAGGCAGTTGCCGGTTTTCCAGTCACCGCCAGTTGAGATCCTCAAGCCCAACCACATCCATATCCACATTCACACTTTTTGGCAGTTCATAAACGTTCGGCTCATCCGCGGCTCTGATTGTGAATGCCACACGCCATTAAGGCTGCTTTGATATGCCAAATGTGTCGCTAAATGATTTTTATTCCTCGCTGCTACGTTGCTCATACGCACCGTGTGCCGGTGTACGTCAGCTTGTGGCTGCTGAGTTTAGTATGCAAATTGTATCACTTTTTCTGGTTTTTTTTTTGGCTTATTTAATGGGTGACTGACGCACACGACTCGGCCATCTCAAAAAAGTTGACTTACAGTGCAGTCAGCTCATTAGTGAGTCTGTTTGCCATTGTGGCTCTGGCTATGGCTCTAGCTGCTCTAACATTATTTATTTGGCATTTTTAACACTTGCCGTTGACAGTTGCTTTGCCAGCCATATTATTTTGCGCTATTTCTCCCTTCTGCAATGAAAAAAAAGCATACAAAAAACAAAGTTAAGCCAACAAGTGCAAATTTGTTTGCTGCATTGAGCAGAGCAGAGTAGAGCGGAGCAGGGCACAAAATTTCTCAACCTTGGCTTCGTGTTCGCCTTGTTTGCTTCCTGTTAATTTTTGTTGATTTTACGCGTTAGCTGCTTGGCTGCCTCAGACTCACTCAGCTCCCCATCCGTCAGTCTCTCCCTGGGTGTGTTTACTGTAGCTGCAGTATTTGTACCGTCGACGACAGGTCGCAGCTGTGTGCGAATGGCTCCAACGGGGCCGGATAGTTGACACAATGATAGTGCAAACTATAGTTGGGAGATGGGTTCTAAATATTTCAAGACTAACCCCGCTAAAACATTGGTCATTAGCTGGTTTTAATCCTTTATTCAATTGACATCTGAGTGCTCTTTTACTAGTACATCAAAATTAAATGTTATATGTCCCAAAATTGTATATGTTTTTGTTTATTTTTTTTCCACAAAATCCTTAGTATCCTTAGAGGGTCATGGAGGGTCATCGGCGGATGCGCAAGAATTTTTCCCGCAAATGTTACTTCAATCTGGTAGCCTTTCTGTCCCTTGCCCTAATCCAATGGATTTTAATAACTCTCGTGTAGGTTTCAATTTAGTTTGTTAGTTTTTAATTGATTGTCTTCATCTTAGAGAAACGTTTCGAGCATTCTTTCGCGAACAGACACTTTCCTGCGCAATCTGTTTTGGCGTGGCATTATTTCTATTTTTGGTTTTTTTATTCGCCCAGAGACTACGCCACCATACCTATTTCAAGTGGGCAGTTACCTTTATAATAGTGAGTTTATTACAAAAAACTGATATATTAGTTATACATTTTTTTTTAATTTATGTACTAGATGGAACTGCATATTGTTTCCTTTTTTGTGCTTGTAGCCAGGTCCTGGATTCCAGACGTTTTAATGTTCTTTGGGTTGTGCCTCGCCGCTGTGATAATTTCCATGATTATTGGTTGCCACCTTTCCTATACGGTGGGTGATGTACTTAATAATATTATCGCTTAGCTTTTAACTATTTTTAGATGGATATGACGGAGCACATGAGTCCACACTTTCTCCTAAGCTTCCTTACTGCCGCCGCCTCGGTTTACTTTCTTATGAGCAGCTTTCATATGGAAGAGCTCATGGCCTATAATTTCTTTATTTTTGAGATGTTACTTAGTGTGGTGATGCTATCGGTATGTTTTTGAAATAATTCTCATTTATTTTGATTGATTTTAGATTGCAGTTCGTCATGTTGCATGCCCAAACTATCAAGGGCGACCGTCTGGTCCAGATGAATCTTCGGGAATACCTTCTGTCCGCTCTTCTCATCTACCACGAGTTTCTGGCCATCTATGTCATGACCTTTTATTGGCAAATCCGCTATGCGTACTTCACTCCCAATGACTTTTTCTGGTTTTCGACAAGTACTACTGTTAAACTGGCCAGAAACACCCTACATCCTGACTTGGATGAGGAAGATGGTTAAGAAATACTTGCTAGTATTCTCTAGTTATTCCTAATTCAAAAAACCCATTGCAGAAATTAATCCTGAGGACGATTCAGATAGCTGGGTTTACGGAAATGAAACCATTGACCCTGATCTAATCGGAAGAATGATAAGTGTCACTTACCTGAAATAAAATTTCCTTTTTTTGTGAATCGAGTTGGATTGGAGCCTCTTGTCAAGATGTCTATATTCTGTCTCGGCTGGATGTTTTTGGAAGATATCTTCTTAGCTGTTGGTGGCACTGAGAAAATTTGCAGTCCTAGGACCCCGAACCACACACTCGACACGATACACATTCATGGGTTACGATGTTGTCCTCCTACGACCTGGACTCTTATCGAAAGGCGCGAAGAGCTTTTTCCCTGAAGAGCTATGGAATATTTATCCTTTGGATTATTTTGGCTTTAGCCCAATGGATAGTAGTCGCCATGTTGTAAGTTTGCTCTGAGATTATTCCATCATTTATGTATATTTTCGTATTTTAAGGAACGATACTCGGCATATATTCCACAAATTTTACTTTATCAGCTTCATAACCTTTCTCCTGGCAGTACTGTTCCTAATACTCTTCATCTTTGTCGAGAAGCTGCGCTTCATCAAGGTGCTAAGCTTTCTCCTAGCCTTTATTATCGTAAGTATGAAGAGTTTTGGGGAAAAATATAAAAAAAACCACGCCCCCAGGTAGAGCTCCAGATTGTTTCCACATTCGCTCTGGTCGTGATTAGTTGGTGGGCGGATGTTCTGGCCTTTTTCGGGCTCTGTATATTACTGATAGTGATTTTCGCCCTAATAGGAGTTATTCTGCCCAAAAAGGTAAGGAAATATACCTCAACTATAAGGCTTTTTATTTAAATTATATACTTCTTACAGATGGATCTCACACTGGACATTGCAGTCCTGTTTATATTGTCCTTTATATTTATGGTTATAGCCAGCTTCACGCTGATTGTCCATCTCACCATGGCTTTCACTGTGCCCTTTGCATATGTGGTCGTGGAGCTGGCTATTTCCATAACTATTTTGCTGGTGGGTAGAATTAACTAAAAAATACCCATTACTTATTTTAGTTGGCCCTTTAGTTTGTGATGTATCATGCCCAGACCATCCATGGGCATCGGTTCGCCGAAATGCGTCTCAATGACTTCCTTCTGGCTTCAATTATCCTCTTCCACGACTTCCTCATCATATACTGGCTGACATTCTATTGGCAAATCAACTACAGGCTCGTCACCTCAGATGCTTGGATAGCCTCCTCTTCTGCGTCTCCGAATCGCAATGCATCAGTAAAGTTTTTGGATGATGTTTATATGTCCGACTGGGAATTGGGTAAGAATGCAATGAATATAGAAATTCTTTCATAATTATTATGCCTTTCTTCAGTCACTACTCCTGGTAATGAATTCAAAGGGTGGAACGCGAAAACGCCAGGTGGGGAGGCGACAACAAATCACCCACCGGGACATAGGCCAAAGACCGATCACAGATTCTGGGCTGTGAACAAGCGAACAAGATATCCTGGACGACACAATAACAGGTATCCTGATGGCCGAAGAGGCTATGGAAATGACTATGGCCATCGCTGGGATCCTGAGGACATGACCCCTGGCACTGAAGCAACGGGTAAGCCCTTCGACGATCATCACTTTGAAAACTATCCAAGGCGAAGGCCCTCTGAGGATATGCCAAGTTTTCGCCAAATGCCCGATTCAAGCTCCCCGGCTATTGATGGTTCGTTCACCACAAGAAATTCCTTTCCTAAGCCAGGCCATGGTCGCGAAGGAATATTCCCAATTATGCCCAACCAGAATGCTCAACCGAAAGAAGGGAAATATAAAATACGCCCAAATAATCACTATTTTTATAGGAAAGACAGTCTTCCGTTTAATGAAGAACCAAATCAATTTGATTTATATGATCCTTTTCATAGAAGAATTGAACCAAACGAATCTATAAGTCCATATCGTAAGGACAAAGCTCAAAATCCTCAACCTTATGAAGGACAGGGATATAGCGAGCTTGATACAGATGAGTCTGAAAGTCCATACATTTCTGAAGAAGGTCTGGATAAGGAAAATTATTACGATAGTCCAAAATATGTACAAAATGCTTACCCACCAATTAAGGGACTAAGCAAGAGTCTTATGAAAAATATTACCAGAAACTCCCTCATCAATCCAGATGATAACGTACCTATAGGCGATGTGGAAATCATAGATCCAAGTGAATTAGCTTTTAAAGCTGCAGTTTCTTCGAAAAAGGGTTCTGAAGAATTGTTAAGTGATTCACCTGGCCGGGAGCCTCAAGATGACGGAGATAAACCAGACATCTATCAGATACGTGAACCTCTCACAACAAACCATTATCCCACCGGACTGCCGGACTTTGAAAAACTTGTATTAAACGTCAGCTCGAGTATGTTGAAATAGACTTTTAAAGACCGTGACAATATATGAATTATTTTGCGTCATAAATTTAATCCGATAAGCTCCACCTCATTGCGCTTTGTCATCATCGTCATTAGGCATTTAATTGCACTCATTAATGAGGGCAACCCATCTTATTCCACCGCATTTGCGACAGGTGACAAACAAATTAATGTCTCTGAGATTTATGACCCGCCCACAAAATGGAACAAACAAAAGTCAACCAAAAAGCATGGCCCAAACAACCACAAAAAAAAGAAAAGCCCAAAACAACCTGTTCAATGAACTCGTCGGCAAGAAAAAATCAGAAAAACCGTTTAACAAATTACGGCCAACACACGTGCAGTCACCATAAAAACGTCCGTACAGTAGTACCACATATTCCGTACAAATGCCGACCGCATATCGCTTATCTCTTGGCCAGGTCGGAGTGCCTACCTTTGCCTTTACCTTTGTTGTGGTGTCTGATGGAGCTGCCATACTCTGTCCCAGTTTTCAGGCCATTTTCTAAGAGCTTTTGGCAATTATATTTATCTGAAATAGGAAACAGTATAAAGCAACTTTTAGCCTATTTCTAATCAGTTCTGGAGTTCTAGAGACTATTATTTTCTTATAGAGCATTTAGAATTCTACAAGCTCCTCTTGAAGAATGGCTCTTTTTGTATTGGTTCGTTTTTTGTGCATTTCGGCAAATCATGGAAAGAACGCAAAGCACGACCACGACACACAGCAGAGACCCACAAGTTCTGGCATAGCTGCTGGTGTTGATGTCAGTGCCAGTCCATAGTCCCCAGTCCCCCTGGAGCCCAGCAAAGTCCAGAAAACCCAGTGCCAGACCCGATCCCAATACCAATCCCAATCCCGTTGGCATTCCCATTCCCCTGGACATGCCCCCTCCCCATGCCCAGTTTGAAGCTACAGTCACTCATGACTGCGACCTGAACCAGATACACGATGCACGATAATATAATTTATGGCCCTGTTTGGTGTTTGCAGCTCCTCCATCTCCAGCTCCAGCTCCACACTGCGTTATGGAATGTTTGCTGTGCCATGCCAGTGCCTCTGTCCGTATCCGTCCGCCACTGTCCGCTCTGTCCGCCTGTCTGACGCTCGTAGTCATCAACAAATCGTACATTTGAATACAAATTGCAGCATTAAAGACGCAGAAGCTTCAACAAAAGTGTCAAATTTGACATGAAATTATTTATGTCTCGCCTGGAACTTTAACTCGTGTTTTCAAGTTTTTAGTGCTGCCTGGTCTCTTGTTCCCAATTGAGTTCATCGCCTGAAACTCCCAAATCCCCATCTTGCCAATAAAATTTCCTTTTTTTTTATATTTGGTTTTTTTTTCGTATATTTTTTTGCATATGTAGGATTTGTCTTTTTTCTTTTCGTCCCATAGTAGACAATATTTATTTTGGTTTTGCATTTATTTTGGCTTTAACTATAGTTAATGTTTCTATTTAATTGTAGTAACTGCAACATTGAGAAACTGTCGTTTTTATTTGCGTTTAGTTAAGCGGGAAATGAAAAGTGGGTACTTAATCGGTGCAGTGTACGGGCCGTCCCACTCAAAACCCTTGGATTTAATTCTGTTTTCGCCAAATGGCCAAGTAACACTACTTTCGGCACGTTCCTCGGGCTCACCAGCACCCAGATGCAATGCATTTCTGCTGACCTAATCTCGACCAGCCGCATCCAAGTCACGTACATAATTTCAAAACAAAACCCTGGTCGAATCGGCAAACCCCAAATGCTTTCTGATATTTGTTCTGGCCAGGAAGGAGTATGATCCGAGGGATTAGGACTAACTCGTGCACTGCACAGCAACTACAAGGTCAACATACTTGTGGGTTTTTGGGATTAAATAAAAAATTGTTTAATTTTTCGTTTTATGTTTTGCATTTTGTGTATATTTTTGGACTCCTTCTCATTATCGGGCTTAAACATTAGGACTTAATCAATAGATAGTACAATAAATAATACTCAGTCTTGCGTAATACAATAATACATAACAGATAACTAAAAACAGAAACTAAATTTTGGTTAAAGGGCTAAAGGGCGAGGCTGGGTGGGGTTGGTGATTTATGTTATTAGGCTATAAGTCTCTACGTGGGTGAACAACATTAGCAGCAGACGATGCAACTATTTACAAGTGACTAAGCAATTGGGCTGCTACCTCCCTGACCTCCCCGTAAACTCTTGACCCCTCCAGCTCCTCCTCCGGTTCAGCTTAGTGGCTGGGCAATCACGCGGCAACAACAACGACCAATGAGGCGCAATCATCGTCAGCAGCAGCCGCTGGCTGCAAACTTTGTGTGGTGGGTGGTGGCATCCTTGTTGCCACATCCTCCTCAGCTCCCAGAGCCGCATCCTCATCCCCCCGACCATTTGGCATGTTAATGCAAATGGCAGGCGTTGCTGCGGCCAAGTCGCAGGATGGGGCTTTATCCTCTTCTGGCGCTGACAGTTTGCACTTTTGCAGCTTATTCAGTTCCTGATGCGGCTGCTGGTTCTGCTGCTGGTGCTGCATTTCGTCCTTTTCCCAATTGGTTACGCAGGCAGCCGCCGCGGGCCGAGGAAACGGATGGTGATGATGATGATGCACAGCTGCCAGTGTAGGATACACAAACTTCATGCCGTAGGCAAAGTGACGGGGCTGATGATGCAGTGCCTCGTCGTAGCTGGGCAGTCCGGTGGCAATCGTATAGCAGGGCGGCGATTCAATTTGGTAGAAGGCGGCCTCATTGTTCCGCTGGTGCTGCTGCTGGATCTGCTGCTGCTGCTGGTGGAGGAGCAGCCGACTGGCGTCGCAGTTGACCAGGTGCGTGGAGTAACTAGAATCGCTGGCGGCATGGATCTGGGCACGTATGTCCTTATCTGGAAAACAAAAGGAGAACAGAGTTAGTTGAGTTTGTTATAAAAGGGTTCATTGTTTGTTTGTTGCAACAGATACAAGTAGAGTTCTCCCCAATCAGCCATCAAAGGACTGAGCCATTCGACTCAGTCATTACATTGTTTGTCCCTGTCAAAGGACATTTGCCAGAGTCCTGGGCAGTGGCATTAAATTCAATTTAGCGTAAAGGCGCAAACGCTTCAACTTTTCCGAATGCCATGCTTCGGACACAGCACAAAAAAAAGGACACAAGGGAGGCGGAAAGTTTCGTAGTGACCGGAAATGCCGGCAAGGATGCCACGACAGGCAAAGTTCCTTCGCAGGAGACTGACAACAACAACAACTAGGCAATAATATGCCGGAAGTGCGCGCGTGGCAAAATGGAATGAAATAAAATACATGCACAGACATCCAGCCATGGTCATGGCTGACCGGAAAGTATGCAACAGAAAGCATTTAATTTTTATAATGCCACATCTGCTGTCCTGCCACATGCGTCTGGTTTGTTTTCAAATTAAGCAAAACTCAAATTAAGATTGGAAAACATCATCACAACCCACACAAACACGTTCGCAATAAATTTAATTTCGTCTCGAAATGGCCGCTTTTTGGGTTACACTTTTGATTAAAAATTTATACAGCCGTAATTTTTGTCAAATAGAATTTCTGCCTCAAATGAAAGCGAGGCTGAAAAAAATGGTGGGCCAGGTGGGTATTCACGTTTATTAAATGCAATTTAAACTGCATTCAATAAATAAATAGGGGATCGTCCTCAACGCTTTTTTGTCCGGATTTCATTTTCAATGCCCTGGTCTTGAAAAACTCGACAATTTTTTAATTGTTCGTTGGCAGTATTGAAAATGCTCTGTATTTTTCATGAATTCCCGTCTTCTGTTTTGCCTTTTTGTTGGCCCTGTTGGTCCGAAATGTTTTTCAATTAAGGAGCGAATCGCAGGAAGGAAAGGTGGTGGCCGGAGCTTGCGGTGTGGGGGTTAAGCCTGTTGAAAAATTTGCGCATTACAATATTAAAACGCAACAGCAGCAGCAGCAGCATCAGAAGCAGTCAGCAGTTGTTGATTTATTGTTATAACTGTAGCACATACATATATGTATATATCCCTTTTTTGGCCAGGATACCCCGCATATGAGGACCTGCTCTTCGTTTTTTTTTCCATTTTTGACTTTTGTTTCCCATTTTTTTGTGGCTCTCTGCTTGATGGACAGACGGCGCCCAGGACGACTCACACACATCGTGCAGGCTTCATATTTTATGCAAGTGTTGAACAAACTGCACCGTATCCCCATCTAGGCTCTCAGCCTTTTGGTGTCCTTTCAAGCATGGCGAATGGACACAAAGAAGTCCAGAATTGCACAGCAAAAATGGGGATCTATTTTTTTAGGATATCAAAGCTTAAGAAATTGGCAAAGGTAGTCCTATTTTTTACAGTGTAAAATATCAGGGGAAAAATGCACTAGCACTATCCAACGTGACTCCTTTTGTTTTTCGCCTGCGTTGGCACTTTGCTTTCCCCCATCGCCAGCCTCGTCCTGCTGCCATTTGTGCTGCCAATGCGCCCAAATGTATGCAACAATTTAAATTCATCGCAATAAGCCGAGCCACACTCTCAAATGAAAACTGGCAAAATGGAAAACATTCAACTGTTCAACTGTTCGGTTGCATGCTGCTTTATTTCCGTGTTGCCATAAATGTCTGTTAATTTTTTAAATGGCAAGAACTGTGTGTGCTGGAGTTGAGTTTTTATTTAAAAATTATTATCATTGCGCTTAAGCTGCTTTCAAGTGCTATTAAGCCGGGCATCGATTCTCCTTTTTTTCAATTTGGCACAAAAGGATGACCTATCACAGCACTTCCATTAAAACTTTTCCTCGCCAGCTCAATTATGGAAGCTGGTCTAAACGCTGGCCGAGACTACAAAACAATTTGGTTAATTACAACACTCTATTTGAGTTTGCCAAAAAAAAACCAACAAAAAAAAAGGAAGAAAAACAGTTACTAGTTTTTGTGGGCCATTAAAAATTGAAAGGGTTTGCTGGCCAAGAGCAACTTTTTCTGGTCTTGCCAAATATGCTACGCTTAATTACATTTTTACGCAACTAAATTATGCAGGACCTGTGCAACATGATAAGCAGTGGAGGGTCGGGACTCTGGACTCCTTGTGGCACGTTAATAAATTCAGTTCAACGCTGCACTAATTGATAACAAGCCAAAGCCAGAGCCAGAGTTAGAGCCAAAGTCAAAGCCATAGCCAAAAACTTTGTATCACTGTGTGTGACAGTTTAATAAATAAAGTGTAAGCCAGGCTGGGGCCAACTGGGGCAGACACTCTGCTCGCCAGGTACTCCTCCACTATCTCTCCCTGGGCCTCGTTAAGTATTTATAAGGTAAACACCACGTAGCTGGCATTAAACGCACAAAGCCAGGCAAACTTAGGCCGAGTTGCTTAATTATAAATGACACACGTATGTGTATCCTGCGTATCCTGGGCGACGGACCACTTGGTATCTAACTAGGCCAGTGCCTCCACACAGGAGAAGTTGGAGGAGGCAAAAAAAAAGCAAAACAGAAACACGACACTAACGAAACTAATTAGACGCATTGGACGCCCGAAACCGAGCAACACATATCGCTCAAATTGATATTTTAGGTATATCCCTGGTCCTTGCCTCTGGGCTCCAGGCCCTATCCCAGTCGCGTGTCGTAATCGCAGGGCAAAGTTTTTAAGGCTCGTTAGCACAAAATTGACAGTTTGACAGTTGAGTTGGCCAGGCTTTAATGCCACGGCCTTTTGGCCCAAGAACCAGACCAGAACCAGAACGAGAACCTGAACCTGGACCAAAGACAACAACTGAGGACCATGAGGAAAGTTTACTTGCCTTTTCCTATGGCCTAAATAAATCATTTGGCTAAATTGGTCTGCAAAAAGTTTGACACTTTAGTCGGGGACTTGTTAGTTGTGTAGGATATTTCGGCCTGGCCGGCCCGTAATTATGTGTAAAGTGCCTAAAAATATGATTTATTTTTCGGGGATTTGGAGCAGTGGGTGCAACAGGTTCTGGCCAGATAAGATATATCTAACATGGTCTATATTGACACGAAATTTGGGTTGAGTGGCTGCTGGCTGGCGGTAATCTGGTGGTTTAGTTGGGGATTTCGATAACAGTATTCTGATGAGTTTGATTGATTTGGATTTAGACCGAGGCCCTAAATGGAGCACTTCCCTTGGCTTTTGCCGAGTGATATGGTCCATTATTATTATACTATATTACTGTGCTTTTATCACCTCGTCCCAGCACGAATATCAAGGCACAATTTCACGCCTTTCATATACATTTTTTTGGGGCAACAGTTGCGAGTTGTTTTTTGTGTGTTTTTCTGTGTAGGGGTCGCTGGGGTCGCTTCTAGTCCACAACTCGTACATTATCGCTATCATAAAAGGGGCACAAAGCCCTAGCCCCCGGCAGAGGCAAGTCAATTTAATATTATAAATATGCGGCACATATATTTTGTGGCATAATAAACTTGTGTATCTAAAATTACAACAGAGACGATGCAAACGGCTGGCTGACAATTCCGAAGCGCGCCAAAAAATTTATGAGGCTTTGCGGCCATAACAGTTGGCCCTGGCCAGGCCATCTAGACCGACTGCCTCTGATGGGCGGCTGTGGGTGGGACCTGTTTCTGCATTTTATATTGTTTAGCCAGGCTGAATAAATGGCCGGAGATAAGGCTTTGGCGAAACAATTTTTGATTAAAGCCAGTGGATTGGGGGAGAGACATAAAAGACAGAAGGGGACTGTGTCTGGAACTTACTGCATTTCTTCCAAGTGCGGAACTTCCTGTAGAAGTAGCAGCTGAAGAGGATGAAGACCAGCGAGAGGACCACCAGCGAGGTGACCACTCCGATCCACAGATAGTTGATAATCACGTGCATGTCCGCCTCGCCGAACACCTGGCCCCACCAGCCCGCATCCTGGCCCTCCTCGGACCCATCCCGAAGGTCGGCCAGGTCGAGGACCACCGACTTGGAGAGCTGCTCGGTGCTGATGCTGCCGTCCGGCGACCAGCCGCTGGGCGGAGCCGGGTCGTAGGCGACCGGCACGTTGCCGATCCTCTGGAGCAGGGAGTTGAACGAGTTGAGGGCGTCGATGTGGCGCAGGTCGTGGGCACTGGGTATCTCGAAGGTGATCTTGTTCTGCTGCAGATGCTCGGCGATAGCGGCGGGGCTCATGCTGCTGGCCGGGGCGGATATGTATTCCGCGTACAGCTCCTCACTGCCCGGCGTTGTGGTTTCCGGCACTGGATAATCCGTGGTGCTAATCATTTTGTGTGTGTTTTGATATTTTTTATCTGACTCTTGTTTGGGTCTGGCACTCGCACTGTCTGGCTCTGGCACTCGCGTCACGACGTCACGACGTAAACAAATCGAACACTACGCCTCTATATATAAGTCATGGGCTCGATTTTCGAATGTTTTTCGATCCGTAGGGCTCTCGAACCGTACTCGGGAGCGGCTGTTTGTCGAATGACTGGTCCCTGGCTCTGCCAAATGCCTACATAGAGTCGCTGAGAAGCGCCTTGCCTTGGGAAATTCCTCCGACACTCCACTCGGGGCTCTCTCGAGTGAGACCCGTGAGTAGTTGTTGTGGGTGTTGGTGAGTGAGTCTCACTCGGAGAAATCAAGACAAGTCCTTAGTTAAAGAAGCATGCAGTTTCTGGCGTGTCCTTTATGTTTTTAAATGCTTCTCGTCCTTATTTATTTCTCCCCCACACCTCCTTGTGCTCTCTGACTTGAGCTGACCCAGTTTGACCAAAAAACTATATTCTTTGGGGCGGAAAAACCAAGTGGAGAGGGAAAACTTCAGCCTCGGTCACGTTCGTTGACGCATTTCGTTGTTTAAAGTTTTTCCCGGCGCTTTTCGGTTTTGTGTTTTTCTAGCAAATTGCTTCGAGCCAAAGTTTTGGCTCGGTACTGATATTAATGAAAGTATTTCCCGCTAGCCAGGCTTTAAAGTTTCCAGCGCCGAAGAAAAGAATTATGACTTGGGGAGAAAAGTTATCTGGGGCATGACAAATTTATGGAAATTCGGTGTGATAACGTATTACGCTAGGCCATAACTCTTAACTCTTGCTTTTGGCCGAGTTAAAGTGGCCGGTGGGAAAAATGTGTGTGTGTAACTAGAACTCTAACTCGAAAATCTCGGCCATTACTAGTCCCTGGAGCGGCAGGACACCGCAACACTTCCTGCAGCTGCCACAAAAAGGAGGAGCAACCGACCAACAGCACGCTTCATTTAAACTCATGTTGACCATAAGCCGGGAAAAGGCAAAAACTCAATGCACAAAGGGCTCTCAGGCGGCACAAAAACGTGCCAAAAATATCCTGCTCCGGCTCTGGCTCTGGCTGTGGCTCAAAAAGTGGAACAAATGCACCGACTCCCCTACTCAAACCACCACTCGAACCACCACCACTCGCTCTCAATGCTTCCACTCACTCAAAACCGGTTTTTCTCTCAGTGCCCTTTTGGCTCAAAGTGAAATTTTCTCCCAGCCTGGTTTTCTCTCTTTCGGCCACCACTGCGCACTCTCTCCCCTACTTTCACTCTCCCAAAATTTCCCATTTCCCTGCCACAGAGTCTGAAAATGAGCAGTCGAGAGACCCGGCAGTCAGTGCCTCTGAACTGGCCTGGGTGAAAGGTCACACAGAGTGTGTGTGTGGGAGCACAATGTCATGGGGTCTCAGGCCTCGGATATCGGAAAATACGTAAACCCAGACGTATAGTAATTGCCAGGCCAACTGCTTTTCGGCAGTCTTGTAATTGCCGGGGGAAATTGAAATAGATGCCCGATAATAAGCACTTAGCTCGAGACCAAAGTCACTCGATAAATGCATTAAAAACTTTTCAGAGCCTCCTCTGGCATGGCGGCCGAAAACTTTTCCACTGCACTGTAAGCCTGAGCCGGGCTTATCGGTAATTAGCTTCTTAGTAATTCCCAACTTTAGCATAAGTTTAAACTGCAGCGATTTTAATCAATGCGTGTTTGCCGAGAAGGGCAGCATAGCAGCATACTTGTGGATTGCCGGGGAAAGTTTGATTGCCTAAATTTAGTTAATTACTAGGAAGTATGAACTAAGAACTAAGAACTTTGCCAAGTTCAGTTTGGGGCTATAAACTAAAGACACTAGGAGAAATAGTGCTGTGGGCTATACAGTAATAGTTTAGGGGATTTAAAGTTAAATTCTGAATAAATTTTCTATTGAACTCATATCCATAAATAACAAGAAAATACTCTAAAGTGTTTAATTAAAAAAAGGCTATTTATTTGGAATATATCTAGGACATATATTAGGAAATTTCACCATTTCTATATTGATTTATTTTCTTTAAAATCAAACACAAATATTTTGGTAATTCATTGCTATGTTTATGATAAGCTGAAATATGCCTCCCAATATTTAATTCCTTTATTCTCATTAAATCCGTTTCTGTGTTAAATACTAAAATTTATGCTAAAAACTTTCCACAGAATTTCTGCATCTGCCAAAGCAAATATTTAGAGTCTCGAACAAAGAGGAATTTTTCCAAAAATACACAAATAATAATTTTATTTACTGTTCTCCGGAGGGAAAAGCACTAAAGTCTTTCCACTAAATGCTATCAGACAATTTGATTTGTTCCATTTCCCCTTTGTGTCTTGAATAACACTCGCTCGCATTCTTTATCGTTTGTAATCCAATTTTGATGGCAATGCAAATTAAATCCACATCACTTGACTTGTCGCATTCAATCCTGCTGCTGGGATGGAAAACCAACCAACTTAGTGCTAAGCGAAACAGAAGTTGAGTTTGATAAACAAGTTTACACCTCTTTCATTTGGGTGCACTGAAGGATGAAAACCTTGGCCCACCCCTCCTCAGGCGAAACTCGCAGACAGCCTGGCAGGATTTTAATATTATTCCTTACGAAATATTCAGCTCTCATAAGGAAAGGACACACACACAGACGAGAGAGCATGCAGATGCTGTGTGACACCGACTAAAAGTAAATTCATTAAAAATTCCATCATAAAAATACCTGAGCTGACGTGAGCTTCCCTCAAAAAAAAAAAAACAAAAAACTAAAAGAAATACATATAGGAAGAGGAAAAACTTGTATTCTTTTTACTAACTAACTAAAAGTAAACCATAAAACACACAGGACCTGAAGTTGGATGGCACACAGGAAGGAAAAGGCGACCGTATCTCTGGGTCCTTTGTGCAGGACTCGTTCTAGTCTCGTCTTATCTTGCAGCTTCCATCACACTTCACTTACATGCTCTTTAACATGTCAACATGTCAGCCTGCTGGGTATCCGTGGTTCTGTGCCTCAGAGCTACCAGCCAGGGGGTGTGACATAGTGACATAATAAAATGTTACTTTAGTTGGTAGTTTAGACGTCGAAAAATCCGCAAAAAGATGCTCTTTCAGACTAGTGGCTGTGGCGCGAAGAAAGTTTCATCCAAGCCCTTTTTAGATTACTTGTATCTACTTCTTATATTAAGTCCCTAACCCTTTTACTAAATACTTAACCCCCGTAACTAGAACAATTATTATTCCTGACCTTTGGCCTCCACTAATCACTCATTAATTAGTTCAGGTACTTGCTCCCAGCTCGCTTTCAATATTCAAATCGATTCATATCCCTCAGCCGGCCACAACATGCAAAAGTGATTTGCGAATCATCATGCCTCCATGGCAAATTATGCATTTAATGGCCAGATGCAATTAGCATCTCCTGCCAGCAATGGAATAAAGGTCCTTTAAGGTCCTGGCCACGGCAATGCAATCGGCTGCGTGTCCGGCATAATTGCCCAAGATTAACATAAATCAATCAAAAGGCACAACAGCACCTTTGTGCCGCTCCACCTTTGTATTGTTGCACATGGAGAATGGCTGTGAAATTGCGCAGAAACTTTAGCCCGCTGCCACAGGACCCGTCACAAAGGATAAGGCTTTGAGGATGGAGTCGGAGAGACGCTGCGGGGTAGTCATACAATGCCCAAGAAAGAGAGCCCAAAAGAACTCGGTGCTAAGCCGTCCGGGTAAACAAATACAATTGCATAAGTCCTGCTGCAGTTGTTGTTTTTCTGGCTGATATTTTTGTAGTATTGCGTGTCCTTTTTGTGTATGTGTAGTGGTGTATGCACTCAAAAAAAAAATATATATAAATATAGAGGTTGTTGCTAGAATATTTATATTCCAGATACTACATGTGGGGTATCCTATATCCTTTCATTCTCCTAAAATATTTAAAAAATAGTTATATTTGATTTCTCTCAGTGCTTTTGTAAGAATTGCCTGGCTATGTGTGAGTCTGTTTATCATATGTGCGCTTGATTAGCGCTGACAACATATGCAGGCTTGGCAGACATCAGGACCGCACGACTGCCGCAAAAAGGACTGCCAACAGGACTCTGTTGACAAACAAAACAAACAAGTGCACATTTTTGTGCCAGAGCTGCATATTTTCCTTTTCTGCCCCAACAGCAGGAAAGAAAACAAATATGGCAGAGGCCTTTTCTCTCCATTCGGTATCCTTTTGCCAACTTCATGCTGCTGCTGCTGTTGCTGTTGCTGCTGCAACTCCTGCATCCTGAATCCTGCAGCAAAAACAAAGGACACTGTATCATGAAGCAGTTTTAAAAGGATTTGCAGTTGAAATATGCTCGAAGCAATGGTGGTGTAGTTTATGCAAAACAGGGAGACGACGCCACTCAAATGAACACTCCCGATGGTTTATTTTTTTGGCAAAGGACAAAGCCAAGTTATCTGAGCCAAGGGCAGGGGAAGCTAACTGGATTCTTAGTCAGCCAGGCATTCCTGGATTTTAAACTGATTTACAAATAATATAGAAACTTGAATTAAATTCAATCAAAGCCATTAGTAATGCAGTTTCTTAATTCATCATCGGTCTGTCGGCTTATAATTTTTGAAAGTTCCTCCAGGATGCCAGGAACTTCTGTGTAGAAGTCTCTGGCTTTGAGTCTTTGAGTCTTCCAGCCCAATTAACTAATTAATCTATTTCAAGAGCAGTCTCTGCCATTTCGACCTACATTAATTTCCTATTCATTGTGCGAGCTTTGGAATGGTCTCTATGCTGCACCGCCACTGGTTGTGGTGGCCTCAGCATCAGCTGTTGCCCCACATAGCTTTGACCTGCCACGGGCCGGGCACTCCCCTTTCTCCTGGCGTGCCACATCCGCATATTTCGAGCACTTCAAAAGTTTCTGCCTGCTTATTAAGAGGGCCAAGCGAAACAAAAAGGCCGAAAACAAATTTTTTCGCCATAACTCAAATGTGGCAGCCAAAGAAACAAAAATGCACAGAGGAAAAATAGCTACACATATCTACAAAAAAGTCTTACGATATTACCATTTAACTAACTGGTTTTAATTTTATTTACTTTAATTAAAAAAGACCTAACAATACCACTTCGAATCACATTTCTCCCTCTGTAGACAAAACAAATGCAGAAAGCTAGAGCCTCTTCGGTGTCAGGACC